CCCCAGGCTCTGCCTTTATGATGGCTGAGGAGGAAACAAGGGGGGAGGAAGGGGGCTACCCTTTCCATCAACAACTCCTAGAGGTGAGAAATAAAGGTCACCGCCCACCCCTACACTACCTCCCAGTTTGCCCAACAGTCCCAGTGACTCACGGATGACTCCGCTGGCAGTACCTCCCGGGGGGTCACTCTGTCCATCTTTTTTCTAGACCTAGATCCCTCCCTTGGCCCCTCCTAGTGTTTCCCAAACGTGTGAGTCTCAAATTCTGCATCAAACATGGCTTCCCAGGCTCCAGTCCTGTATAATTCAGGGGAGTAGTGGAGTTGCAGTTTTCTACGCTGAGCATCACCCAGTGATGGTTAGTCATACTAAAGTTTGATAATCACTGGTCCATTCCTAACCCAAGGAGTGAGGGAGGCAGGACTTGGCACCGATGGGGAAAAGCCCAGGAAGAGTTGGGCACCCCCCTCATTCTCTCCATAACACGAGCAATTAGGAGATCCTCATTTATTATCAAGTCTAGCTAGCGTCCCTTCTGCTTGGTCCTCACTCTTTCCCATCTGTAAAATGGGCAGTTGTGCCAGATATTCTAAGATCTCTTCCAGCTCTGAGGTTCTTTGATTCAATGGCCTGTTATCAACCAGCTCCTTACGATCTGCCATCTTCTACGCTGATCTATTATCCCTTTCAGGTGTAGGCAGAAGGGACTGTATGATTCTGATGAAAGAAAAGAGATGCCAGGACAATTTAATCCCGGAAAGGACTCTCCTCAGATTCCAAAATTAAAGCTCTGATCCCTAGTCAGACACAAACATCCCTGGGAAGGGTTACAATTTAAGCTGTCACCAGCTTCTTTATTCTTAACAGCAGGTGTTAAGAGGAGGATGACGGAGAGGAAAATATAAGACTGCTCAGCTCTGGAAGAGGTGGGAGGATGGAGAAATGGAGTGACATCAGTGGTCTGGGAGACCAGTGTCCTGAATTCTAGTCCTAATGCTGCAACGTGTAACTGTGTGATGACAATGTTGGGTTTTGCCTGAGCTTGTGAGCCTGGAAAACAGTGAAGGTTAAGAAATCCCCCATCCTTTGTGTTTCAGAAAAACAGCTTGCTGTAAAAAAAAACAAACAAACAAACAAAAAACTCCCTTCCCTGTATGACTTAGAAAAGACTCACAGGCGCCCCCTTGCTTCCCTATGACGAGACCCTCCAATTCCCTTTCTTTACTCCATGAATGATTCGGGCAACTGCTCATTCCCACTGATCTGCTGGAACTAAATGCTGCTTAACCAAGTTTGGTTCTGCCTCACTCTCTCCACCAGGCCCTGAACTTGGCCCACCGTCTTCCTGAGACAGCCGCTCCTGAGAACCACTCTCTGGTCTACCATCTCATTGGATCACCTTTCACCCCCCGTCCCTTTGTTTACTGCTCTCTATAAAAGGACCCCTGTTTGCCCCACATTTGCGGTGCTTGCAGATCTTATGGACAGATCATTCTCCCCTTATAATAGTCACTTTTCCTGCCTTGCAATCATTCTTTTGAAAGGCTCAAATCTCTCCTTCTTACCAAGTCCAGAATTGTTTTCATTTGACAATGACCACGGGCAAGTCAAGCCATTTCACTAGAGTTTTCGTTATCTGTCAAGTCTGAAAAACATGTCACAAAGTTATAAAAGCAAAGACATAACATATGTAAAAGTACTCTGTATGCCATAAGCAAATAAAATACAGTTCTAGTGGGGGCTCAAGTCCTCCACCCTCGATTTCCCTCCCAGGATGTCCTCCAGCGCCCGGCCCCCTTACGCTCCACCCCCGCTCAGGCTTTCTCTGCCCTCAGCCCTCCGGACCATCCCAGGCTCGCACCCAAGTTTCCCGGGGAAGTTCAGCTCTACAGTCTCAATCCAGAAAGCCACCCCTCCCTTCCCCAGGCACAGCCATCCCTCATTCATCACTGTCACATCCCACAGAGGGCTTCTATTTAACAACCAATCTATTTCCAATTTAACTAATCTGGGGATGGGCCATCTCTCTCGCACACAAACCGATGATGCCTGGGTCGTAAATAGACTTACAAACGGGTGTGCTGGATAATAGAAACTCTCATCACAGCAACATCAGAAGAGGGGGGGAGAGGAGGGACGAGGGGGTCAGGAGATTGCACAGTGATGAAATATGCAAGCCCCCGAGGTAAACAATCCCTGCCACCTTCCCTCGTGGCCCTTGCGCTCAGTGTCGCTGGCAATTATTTATTTATTTGTCTCACTGATTCCCCGGCTCACCTTGAGTCCAGACAAACGCTTCATAAACAATGCATGACATGCTAACTCGGGGTTGGGAGGGAGCACACAGGTGCCCGAGGAGGTGGCCATCATCTGGCCCTACACCGGGCTCCCCTGACCCCGCCCCCGCCCCCGGGGCAAAGCTGCTGGCGCTTGGGTGGGACAATGGCCCCAGATGAAAGAACACTTGCTCTTCTAGCGGGACAGCTCATCAGTAGTCTGCAAGGCCCAGCCTGCTCCGAGAACGCCGACTGGTCCGCCAGAGGCACCTGAGCCCAGGAGGGCCTTGCTTACAAGGCTGACAGCGCTGGGTTGAGGCTCAAGCTATCACCCAGGCTAGGTGGGCCGAGGTAGGTCACCTGCAGACACGGGGGGCTGCCTCTGCTCCCCTGCCTTCCCCCTTTCTACAGATTCTCAGATTGTGTGCAGACCCCAGTCGTCCCATCCAGGGCTGGGGGCCCTAGATAGGGGAAGGGGCACCAGGTTAGGAAACCGGGTTTGAGAAAGAGTAGAGCCCCTCCTAGATGGGTGATGTTCCCCAAATCACCGCCCAGCTGAGTTCCCTCTCCTGAGATGAAGGCCTTGAACTCGATCTCTCTTTATTTTTTGAAGTAGTCAGTTACAATGTGGCAGCGTCCGGCGCACAACGCAGGATCCCGGTCATGCATGCCCGCACCTTGAACAAGGTGGTCTTTGCGGCCTCTTCCAGCTGCGCCTCTTAGGGGCGGAGCCACCGGGAGGCAGGCCTGGGCATCACCAACACAACCATAAACCACACCGCCTGAACTCTGCTGAACGCAGCACTTCCCTGGGCGAGCTTACGTTAAACAAACACCACTTGGTTATTAGAAATACATTTAGAATGGTTGTGCAGCTCCAGGGAAGACACCCCGGCTGAGCAGCTCTGCCCAGCCCCCAGGACAGGCCCCAGCCACCCGCCCTAACCCAGCCGGGTCACTCGCTGGTGTCCTCTCTCTGCCATCATTCCATGCCTGTATCACGCTCCTGGCGTCTGGGGAAAAGCAACTTGCAGGCCTGCTGATTCCATTTTAAAGGATGATGTATGTGGGAATGGTTTTTAGCTGGGTCTCCAACTCAATGCTAAACCAATTAGAAGAGGGTGTGATTAGTGGGAGAGCCAGGGGCATCTGTTTTAGAGCCGGCCTCAGGATGCTGGTTGTGTGTGAGAGATGTGGCTTGCAGGTGGGAACCCTGTATCCCAGGGGGAAAGCCCAGGAACAAGAGATGGGGGAGAGGGCCCTCCCAGCAGGGCTGTAATTTTCTGAGGAGGAAGCTGAGGACAGAAAGGAGAAAGAAGCAGTAAGACTTCCTTGCCCCTCCCCTTCCCCACATCCCACTGTAACATGGCTGGATTCCTCTAGTGGCCGGAAATATTTAATAGAATACTTTTGTTTGGATCTTGCATCCCTGGTAACCTGAAGATGTTACCATGGCAATCCCTGAGTTATACATCTCGATTATTTATGGCCTTGCAAATAGGGTGGGGAACCACTCCAGGCCCCACAGAAACAGCAGGGAGCTAGAGGCCTCATTTCCTCCTCTCCCCGTTCCCCATCAGCCCCAGAGGAAGGGGGAAAGAAGATGCCAGCTCGGTTGGCTGGAAATAGCTCAAAGCCATTTGGCATGGAAAAATCCACCCCCACCCGACCCCATTCCCCTCTTATGGCCCTTAGAACTTTCCTGCTCCCCAGCACTTCCATTCTGGGGTCCGCACAGTCCTCCCAGATCACCGTCCACTCCCCAGGGAATAGCCACGGATGGAGGAAAGGAGTCAGGAGTACCTAGTGACCTGCGCCCCCAGTCCCAGCTTGAGCTGGGCTAGAACCCTATTCACACCACCCATTATTATGTCTGTGACCTCAGACACATGACTCGGCCTTTTGACGCCTCTGGTTCTGCAAGTGTCAAATGTGCTATACTCACACGGTGACGGAGAGGGCTAGATGAAATGACACACATAAAGCTCCATGTACGGCCCCTGGCACACAGTAAGTGCTCAGTGAATCGTAGTTGTTCCGTAGCAATCACGCTGTCGACCATCCTAGCACATCTGTGTTTGTGGATGGAAGTCAGGACTCTCGAGACAGCAATGGGGCAGGAGGACAGAGCTGGGGATGGACAAGCGTTGAGGGGGGCGGCTTGGAGCGGGGACAATTTTCTTCTCTCGTCCAGACAGAGGAGCAGCAGCCCCAGTTGGCCAAATCAAGCCTGGACGCCCTCGGTCAAGTCCTGGGCATACCATCATCCTGCCCCTAACGACCACATTTCCCTTCTCACAAGATCAGCCCCAGGGAGTGGCCTGTACTGGGTTGAATAGCGTCCCCCCAGAATTCATGTCCACTCTGTGAATATGACCTTATGTAAAAGTAGGGTCTTTGCAGATTAAGATGAGGTCATACTGGGTTAGAGGAGTCACTAGTCCAGTGACTGGTGTCCTTATACGAAGAGGGAGGTGTGGACACAGGCACACACAGGGAGGACTCTATGTCATGACAAGAGACAGAGGTTGGAGTGACACTGCCACCAACCCAGGGAGAAGAATTGCGGGCAACCACCAGGTGCTAGGAGACGGGCATGAAACAGATCCTCCCTCGGAGCCTCCAGAAGGAAGCAATGATGCTGATACCTGCATTTCCGACATCCGGCCCCTAGAATGAGTGAATACACTTCTGTTGTTTGCAGCTGCCCAGTTTGTGGTAAATTGTTACTGCAGCCTTTGGAAACTAATACGAGCCCCCAGACTCTGGCTGATATGCTGGCTAATGTGTGTCCCCTCAGCTATCAGGAACTGCTCTGTCATGAACTGACATCACTGGGTGTACAGGAAAGAGAACAGAGTGGGGTCCCAGTTTCCTCTCTGCATTCACTAGCTGTGTGCCATAAGTGATTTGCTTGCCCTCTCTGAGCCACATCTGGGAAATGGGGACATTGATGCCTGTCCAGCCTGCTTTGCAGGCTTGCTAGAGATTTGCATTTGATTCTGTCTATGAAACACTTTATTAGCTCTAAAGCAGGTGATACCTGCAGCCTGTATGTCCCTGTGATGACACAGAAGGGGAACTTGTGATTCCCATGTCCCTCATGCTGACAGGTCGGGCCCGCACCCACAGTGACGAGCAGGGGGAGGATTTCTATCCAAACCCGGCTGCTGGCTCGCAGCTTCTGGCCCCTACTGTCCTGTTAGCATCCCCGGCATGACCCTTCCACCAATGGCCCCAGGCAGCCGTGGCCCGATGCAGAGACACTTTGTTACCAGTAATCATCCCAGGTGAGAACTATCGACAAGGAGACCACTGGAACTCTGGCTCACTGGGGAGGCTCAGAGGGCAGCAAAGGGTAGGAAATCCGGGCATCAACCTGAAAGGCCTTCCTAAAAGGCCCCTTGCCTCTAACACTGCTGACTCTCACCAGGAACCGCGGTGGTCCCTCCTTCATTCCTGGGTGGTCCCAGGCTTTCCGGCCCTCAGCCCGGGGTTCCTGTGACTCAGCCTGGCATCTGAGCTGTCGGGAGACATCCTTTTTGCCTGGCTGGCCTGGTCCTGGTTTGCAATAAATCCTTAGGCTCTAACAACGCCTGACAAATGCTAAGTATTAAATATATTTTCAGGAAATGAATGATGCTTAGGGGTTCGCTGTGCCAGATTCATGGTGTGAAAAACAGAATTCAGACTCCATATAGTCAGGAATTAGCCTCCGCACTTACATGTGTTAATGCTTTTGTACATTTCTGGTGATGCGAGATTAGAACGTTGTACATTTTAGACTAAGACTGAACTTCCCTCTGTTGGAAAGGAAGATGGGTGGTGTTGGCGCGTGCGTGTGTCTGTCTGCAGGAGCGAGTAGGGATCAGGGAACGATCTGGGGAAAGAGGCCATCTGCAAGACCGCATTCCTGATGGTGGCGGTGGTGGTGCAGTGGTCGTGATGCGCGCACAGCTGTGTCCATGAGTTCATGTGTGTGCATGTGTGTGTGTCTGCGTGCACTGGAGGACAGGAGGGGGCGTCACACTGCTCACTCTGTCCCTGGCAGCGGTGGTGCTTGGGGACAGAGGGGGGTCTCCGGCCCGCTCTGTGGAGGAAAGCTACCTGAACAGGTCACAGAGACGCAGAGGCCTGAGCAGCGCAGATAAGAAGGGTCTGGAAGATCTAGACCACTGGCCCCAGTCTGCAGTCTTCAGACCCCCACAGGTTCCCACAGGTAGTAATGGTGACTCAGGAGCTGTTTTTAATATTCCTGTATGCCTAGCAGAAACGACACACTTACCAAAGATAAGGCTGCACAGACTGCTAACTGAGACATCATTTCTTTGCTTTTGGCTGGAATTATATCAACTCAGTGTGATAACACTGCTAATCTCACGCTGATCTGAACCCCTGATTGGCAGTCATACATGGCTTTGATTAATAAAAAATGGGAAAACAAATTATTACTTGATAAATGTAGTTTGTTTGGTAGACAAAAATCTTTTAAAATACAGGGCGCACGGTGCAGAGGGAGGGGGAGATTACGTGACTGTTAAGAACAGAGGCTCAGAGGCCAGACATTCAGATTCAAATCTTGGCTCAACCACAGATAACAGTAAGTTGCACTAGTCTCTTAACTCTCTAAGCCTCAGTTTCTTCATCTACAAAATGGGAGCCATGATAAAAGCCATCTCTAGGATTCGGGTGAGGATTAAATGAGATAATACAGAGAAAGCACACAGTTGACAGCCTGGCATGTGGAAAGCACGAATCAAGTATCAGGTCTTATCGCCACCCTCACTATCACCGCTCTCACTATTAGCAGGTCGGGAACCACCAGGCTAGATTATTCCTGAGATTTGGGGAGCAGGGCTGATTTGTGCACATGTCACATACTGCATACTCTGAAGACTGCATACTCTGAAGACAGATGCCCAGTTGCCTCCTGGCTTCGTTCCTTTCCTTTTGTTTTCAACACCATACCCCCCAGCTCAGCCTGAGCCACTGTTGTCAGCTCCCCTTCTCGCCTGGAGGAGGAAGGCCTTTGGTTATTCAGTCACCCTCTTCCTCTCCTGTGCCAACTCCCATTCAAAACCTCTTGACTCCTCTGTGGCCATGGCCCCAGTTCTGTCTCAGGAGAGTCCCTCCTGTTTCCCCAACCCACCAGGTAAGCCTCGCATTAACCCTTAGTGGAGCCAAGACCCCCCCGTCTTTGGCAGGTTGATACTGTTCTTGGGCCTTTTGTCCCCATTGTATGCTTCGGCCCCACCTGCACCCTGTGTGACCAGCACATCTCACACGTCCCACCCCCCCATCCCCTACCAGCCCTTCAGGTGGGCCTCTGGGTGGTGCTCTGACTCCCCCCAGGCCCCCAGGCTGGGTGCCCTCTGTGTGGTCAGTGTCACACTGCACAGCACTCAGTCACCTTCCCAGAACCAGCTCTGCAGGCCCCCGGCACGTGGACATGACCTGCCCTGTCACACCCACCTTCCTCTCCCCATCTGTGACATGCAGGCGGGGACAAAGCTAGATCAGCCGTCCAAGTCAGGACACAAGTCAGGGGCTTTGCTCTGTCGCAAAATCACCTGTGGAACTGGTGAAATACAGATTTCCGGGTCGCACTCTGGGAGAGGTGACTGCCAGCTCTGGGGTGGGGCCCAGGCTCTTAGTACCAGGGCGCCTCCGGGCAATTCTGGTGGCCATTTCAGGAACCTGGGCCCTTCCGGATCTAACTTCCTGTGCCTCTGAAAGCCTCGAGGCCACAGAGGAGCCAGACACCTCACAGATCTCTCTCCGTGAGGCCCCTGGGCAGGACTCGAACCCTCTTGAGGAAGAGGCCAGGGCCCCTGCCACCAGACTCTCTAGAGCATTTTCAGTCATTTCCAATGGCTGTTGGGTCCAGGCAACAAGACTGCCGAGTGTCATGACACCCTCCTTGTTCTTGGAATAAGGGAAAGTGTCCCTGCTGTCGTGCAGCCTCGGTGGGGAGGGACGGGGGGCTGGTCCCCTCTCCATCCCCGGGTTGCTGAGAAGCGGCTTCCTGCCAAGGTGCTCTGAGCAGTGACTGTCTCGTTTGCCTGGTTGTTATGGAGAGATCCGACAGGCAGGCCATCAAACCCCTTAGCTCACCTGCCAGAGGAAGAGAGCGAGCGACAAGTGTAACAGGGGAGAGAACAGATCTTCCATGTCACTATGCTCACATTACCCCCCATAATGAGCTCTGCCCGACAGCTGCTCGCACGGCTCACACAGGTCCAGCGCTCACTCGTGCCCCACGGCGCCAGGGAAACCGGGAGGCTGCTCCGCCCCCCTGCGAGTCTGGGGCACCCCCCCTCCCCTCCCCTCCCCCGCCAGGCTCCCTCAGGCCTTAGCCTCCCCTCCCCCAACTCCAGCTCCAGGAACAGGCAGGAAACCAAACTATTCACAAGGCGGAGGCTCGGCTC